CATCGAGGCACCAGAAACGATTCAGCGTCTGAGGAAACTGAAAGGTGAGGCTTGTAGAGTTTGACATTATGAGAAGTCAACAGTGAAAAACAGCCCATTCCATGAAACACGATTCTAGGAACGTTAAACTTTTGAGCTGTTGATGATGTCCAGTAAAGACATTTATCTGAAATTATGCATGAGATGGGTAAAGGGTCGTTTTTCTGAAGAAAATCTTCAATGGGTTTTTGAAGCATTCCGAGTGCTTTGTAGAATTTGTCAAGTAGGGTTTTTGAAGAGAGGGTGTCGAGACTCTCGCAGCCTGGAGGTAAGCCGACTTCCTGCCATGGAAATGGAATCTGGACTAGCTGGAGTTCGGCGGATGATTCTGATTTGGCTCGGTCGATGACTGTGTTGAATCTTGAAGCGTTGTGAGGAGTGGTGATGAAGCTGACAATCACGCCTTGCTGACTGAGAATCTTAGCCATGTCAACCATGGGGATCATGTGACCTTGCGCCATTAACGGTATGAGAACAAAGTGAAGTGGCCTGCGCGTCGATGATGCCATTGCTGGAAATTGAAAGAAGGTGGTGGGAATTTGCAGAGCCCAAATTTGGTGACTTGATCGGATTAATTAATTGAATAATGAATATCGTCATGTTGAGCAAGTCATGTACCTGCAAACGCTTGACTTTGAATCGGTCACCACTTTGTACACCGATACAATCTAAGCTTACAAATATATATATGTAAATATATTAATAATACATGTGTACGTATATATATATATATAGATACAAACCGTTTACTCGAGTCCCCTCTGATACAATATTGCTGCATTTCGGCTGGACTAGACTTAAATTATAGTTGATTTGGTCAAATAGGTAGGGGCGTAGCGTACTGAATGCGGTTATATATATATAACAAAGTTAACTATAGGTATTGACCCTGTTCCTTTATATATATATATATATATACCAAAGTTAACTATAGGTATTGACGCTGTTCCTTTATATATATATATATATATATAACCTATAGTTAACTTTGTTTCTTGCATATTACAATTCACATAAATATATATAATAATGAGTAAAATTATTAATTTTATGAAATTAAATATTATAAATTAATTTTATAATATATATGTAATATCTGGATCTGAAATTTATTATGACATCAATTTTAGCATTTAAAATAAATAAAAATTTATTTATAAATTAATTTAATTTAATTTTTATTGAATTTATTGAAAAAATAGATTACAAATATAATTGAAATTTTTTTAAAGAAAAATTGGTGAAAATTTGAGTTCGGAAGTTATTTTTGAAAGAAAAATTAAAAATAAAGGGTTAAATACAAATAAAAAAAATTGTATAATGTAGGACCGCTTAGTCAGCAGCTCCGACGAACCGGAGCACGCTGCATGGTAAGGCACGCTGACGTCGGTGCTACGCGGGAGGCCACGCAGGCGATCCGCGTACCCCGTGATCGGACAGCTCAGGATTGATCTTGCGCGCGTGGACGGCTCGGATTTGTTTCTCTCTTAAGCGCGATCAGACAACCAAGATCAAATCGCGATAGATGACCTAGATTTATTTCCTTCTTAGGCGCGATCGGACGGACGACATCGATCCCGATAGATGGCTTAGATCAACGGGGGATGGATATAAATACATCGCATCATATAGGAACTCGAACCCTAGCCGCCAACCACTGCTAGAGAAGAAAAACTAGATACCAGATAAGAAGGCCGACTGCCATCGCACTATAGCCACCGCTGACTGCCAAAAAAAGTAAAAATTCTCTCTACTCACTTGAAATTCGATTCTGAGTACCTATGTGGCCAAATCTGAGCAAAAAGGACGATAGGTGAACCAGAAAATGCGGGCAAAGCCTGGCAGAGCTGCCGTGGTCCAAACCCCTCTGATGAGCCCCTTCCTTATTTCTATGCCACGTGATTTTTTGATCATTGTGTTCATCTTTATTTTCTGTGCAGGTTAGCCGAAGAAAAAACATCAGTCACGAAGGAGGACCAGCGGAGCCGTCGCACCCGAAGGTCGCCCCCCTTTCCCCCCCTCCAAGCTGGTAAGTTTAATTTTTTGTGATTTTTCGGCCAACCGAGGCCCCTAACGTGTTTTTCTACAGGGGTACGACCAAAACCGGCAAAAATCAGATAGGCCGAGGCAAACTGCCGCCGTGGGCAGCGGAGCTAGCACTAGAGCACAGTGGCGGCGCCGTGCCGAAACTCCAAAATTAGCCAGAATGAGTTTTGGACACTGATTTTGGATTTCTGGAGTATTTTAGGTATGTGACGAATATTTTGGATTCCACAGAAAAAATTCAAAAAATTCGATACTTATTAGGAGGCATAGTAAACAGCGTAACGTCTCGAAACACCGATCCAGGTAAGGGCCTATTCTCCATTACGGTAAATTAAAGCTTAACAATGTATAATTTCATGTTTTTATAAAAAAATTAGAAAATCCTAAAAATAATTACAAGTTACTAGTGGAGCCGGAACTGGTTAGTTCACATTTGTCATGATTCCCTGTTTATTTGCATGTACTGCTTAAATTACTTACTATTACATTGTGTATGTTTACATTGATAGTTTTTATAGTCTTCTCAACTATCTAGATTATTTGGTCCATTCCTGCATGATTTATCTAGTTATCTGATTACTCAGTTATTAGTTATGATAAATTAAAACGCTTGCTTAAATTTCGTTTTATTGATATGTGAATATACAATGCGATATTGGTATTGCGTAGTTGGTTGTTTTGTTGATGAAAATCTGTACGTGAAAAACTTATTAGGTACCCGAAAAAGGGTGAACGGACATAGTATATAGGGAACCCTACCGTGAACGTTATCTCAATCGGACGAGGCTGGAAAGTTCCTTACTAGTAAGGTTTGGGAGATATGATTTACCTTCATACTTGATGGGGTATCGAGGTAGTAGAATGTTTGACATCCATTATCGGACGGGGTATGAGAACGATCAGTTAATTATTTAAATTGAATATTAGATTTACGAGCAGAGAGACATCTCTATGGACCCCTATGGGTAGCAGTAAGCAGGTAAAAAGGAAAGGGTATTGTCTGTTGTTATCATATGCGTGAAAATAGAAAGTGATATGAATATGGGTTTCCATAGGTTGTTTTTAGAAAAGCTCATTATGTAAGTATGAAATAAATGATTTTCTTTATATTAAATGTATTTACATCAAATTAAGGGCTCCATTAGTTATTTTTATGATTTTTATCAATTTTTAATTTTTCGTATATGTGATTAGTGTGATATTCTTATTGAGTTAGTGTAGCTCACCCTTTCATTAACCATTTCAGATCAAGAAGACCAAAATTAAGATCCCGATCAGCAAGAGAGTTATAAGTAGTTTACTATCCGGACTCCCTTCAAGTACTAATGAAGGTTGTTTCAGGATATTTATTTATTTGTTTTTCTTTAATTACCGTTTGTCTTTTAGAAGAGATATTCTCATAGCCTTATTGGTATTCTAAAACTATTATTACTTTATTATTCGCTTCTGCATTTAATTTATGAATTTATTTTTATTTAAGTTTCGAGTCTCTACAGTTGGAATCAGAGCCACGTTCCTCCGAACCATTCCTTACACAAAACTTAAGAAACACCAAATATGAACTATCGCTCAATCATTTCTTGTGAAATGCAAATTAGTGGATTAGTGGTTTTCTTAGTGAGTTAGTGGTTATTTATCTTTAATAGCGTCTGTTTATTTTTGTCCTATTTAAGCATACTAATTTCATCAATAAAACTCACTTGAGTTCAGTATAATTCTTTTATTACTCTATTTGTACATCTGGTATCAGAGCCAGAAAAAGAAAAAAACTAACAATATTTTTTGTTCCACAGCTAATTTATAATTTCACTCGTAACCGACAATTTATGATTTTCATAATTTTAAATCATTTTTCCAACATAAATTAACAAAAAAATGATGTTGTCACACTTAAAAATTTTTATACTTCACCTTACGTTCTATCTTGTCTTGATCATTCACTTTAAGGTTGCTAGCTAAAAGTTGCATTCATCCCCCTCATTAGTGGTAAGAAGCACCTATTGCAAATCAAAACATAACAACACCATTTTCAGTTGTCAACACTCATATATACACCAATAATAATAATAATGATGATGATGATGATGATGATGATGATGGTGATGATGATAATCTTGTATTTCTAGAAGTTAAACCTGTATTTGTAGGGTAGTACGAAAATCATTATTTTCCAGAGCTTCTCAAAGCTTGACAAGCTTATCAGCTACATTTTTAGAAATTTCCCCATTATTGAGATTGGCAAATAAGGCACCTATTTTCCTTGAATTGTCTTCTATTTCACACTTCTTTGCTAGATTTGCAGGGAAGCCTCCAAGTGCTTCTGATATTTCATTGAAAAGTCTTGTGAATTTTGCAACAATAGGAAATAGGGAAGTGCCTTATTAATAGTCACTGTCATCTTGCATAAACCTAAGACAATAAATTCAAAAAGTTCCATGTACTATTAACCAAAACAATGAGAAGTAGAAATTACTCAAAACATCTGAAGTGTCAGCATTCTGCACTATCAGAGGTGTAGTTGTAAGCATAATGTTTTGTTGCACAGATGTTGGCTGAGTTGGATTAGTTTGTTGCATTGATGGCATTGGACCTAATCTAGGTCTAAGAACAACACTTGTACTAGACATTGACATAAACCCAAGAGGTGTGGGAGTGGGAGCAATAACCTATGACATTTTAGGACCAGGAAGTTAGCCAATTTGAGAAGAAACAGGTCCTAGGAAACAGGTGTAGATGGTATAGGATATATAGGTTTAGCAGTTCCTTGAGCAAAAATGCAAAATATTTCAGTATACAGTTACAACATGATATTCATACCTTCCGATAGGAAACAAAATGTAGATATACGGACATGATATAATTGAGAACTCAAAGTTGGCTGTTGACACTTATCAACATTTCTCAACCTCAGGGGAGTTGAAAGAACAAAGGTTGTTCTCATGGTTGACCGAGTGGTAACAGAAGTAGAAGTAGGAGCAAAGATAAAATAAATCAATGCATAAAAAGAGCATATTTCACAATAACTGAAACAACCTTATCTTATGTTAAAAAATTATTAGAGAAGATCAAAAGCTATCACTTGAATAAAGGACAACTAAATAAATTTTTAATTTTCTAAATGCAAAAATAAGGATTGCGTTAGATGTTCACCTTCTTTAGTTCTGAAAATCTATATCTAGTTGGTTTGGAATGAGAAAAATAGAAGGATTTTTTATGGGGTTGAGGATGTAAATGATTTTGATATTTTTAAAAATAAATGGTTCCTAACCCCTGGTTTTTTGTTACATCGTCATCCTCTTTGTCTAAGGAGGATTTAAACAGAACTTGTTGATATTTGTAAATTTTATACATGTGCGCCATCCCCTTGGTTCCTATATCAATATAATTCATACTTTATATTTCAATATATATATATAGATTCGTTAAGCATGGTCCGCACAGGAAATTGATGGAGAGAAATCAC